CCTTCCCTTCCCCTTTCTCTAAAACTAAAATAATAATAATAATAATAATAATAATAATAATAATAAAAACAGCCTCTACCTTAAAAAATAAAAATGTAGGTATTTGTTTTTATACCTGGTTTCTAAATTTCTTGCTAATCCTAAGTATTTTTAACTGGTGCCTTAAGGAACACTTGGGATGAGAATATTGGTAATAATAATGAATGTGAATTCATATTTCAAATACTTTTTTCGTTACCTTTGAAGTTTCCGACTTACTTATTGTCAGATCTGATTGAGTCATTGTTTTTACCTTGCTAATGTGGCAGACAGCAAGCTCTTCTATACAAGTAAGAAATATGTCAACTCTGTCCTTTTTTTAGAGAGAGAGAGAGGGAGAGAAACATCAATGTGTGCTGGCCTCTCACACACCCCCTCCTGGGGACCCACAACCCAGGCATGTGCCCTGACTGGGAATCAAACTGCAACTCTTTGGTTCACACAGGCTGGCACTCAATCCATTGAGCCACACCACCCAGGGCCCTTTTCCTATTAACAGGAAAAAAATTTTTATCCTCATTTTTTTTGGTTTCATAGCCAAATGTTTTTTTTTACCTAGCTAGTTAAAACTAGATAGTATTATATGTAATCCATTTAAGTGGGCAACCTCAGTGTATCACAATGAGTTAAAAGGGAACTAGCTGCCGTCAGCCCCTCTGTGTGGGAGAATGCCCGCTCTCTCCTCATGGTACCTGTCTGACATATGGACCAAATAAGGGCACCACAGTCTGTCTACATATTTGTAAAGTCAATTCCTATTTTTAGGTTGGAAGTAATAAACAGATAGATATTATTTTCCCATGCCCCCTGGGGACCCTGCACCCCACTTAGGATGGGAGAGCACTGGTTTCCCCTGCAGTTGGTGATTTGTTGCTGCAGTGGTCATTGGTTGGCTAGTCTCCACGCTCATTCCCTTCCCTGCTCTTTCTGCCCATCATTACCCTGATTTTCTTTGAGTGAGTCCTCAGCTCCCATCCTACCTTCCACTCCTGAGCCGCCCTCCTTTTTCTCCCAGTAACTAGTATGGGGATATCAAGAAACTCCATCTAGACTTAAAAAAAAAAAAAGGGAATTCTAGGACTATTGTAGTAGCTCCGGAAACAGGCTCTCTCCCTCACCACGGGCATGATGAGGCCACTGCTGTAGCCAGTTTACTACCCAGAGGGCACAGACCAGAATTCCCAGGCACCACCACATGGGACCCAGGAATGAAATGAAATTGCTGAAGATAAAGACAAGAGATGGCAAGAAATCAGATCCTTGGTGACCTTGTTAGAGCTCCTGGATGAAGTCTTTCCTGAAGCCAGATCTACTGGTGGATCTCTCAGCTATAGGGGCCAATAAATTCCATTCAAATGCACAAGGCACTTATTTAAATTAGCTTCTCTATCATCTGCAACCAAAAAGTCCTCGTTGATATAACTGTCAACTCCCTCAAGCAATTTGTTTTGTTATTTGTTTTTTTTGTTTTTAAATTATTGTACAGTTAATTATACTCTGTAGCACAGAATTATCATCAGTACCTACAAAAAGTCCTATTGAATTATTTCTTTAGTAGCACACATTAATTATAAGCTATGTACCAGGCACTGTCCTAAGTAACTCACATATATTAACACATTTAACCTGCCCAATAATGCTATGGAATCAGTACTATGATGATCCCCATTTTACAAATGAGCAAACTAACTTGCCCAAGGTCACACAGTAAGCAGTAAAGCCAAGATTTACTGCTAAGACACACTTGAACCAGGGCTTCCGGCTCCTACACTAATGCTCTTAATCACGACAGGGGACCAGGAAGACTGCACTACTCACATGCTAACGTTTGGCATTGACTAATTGTCTAATTTTTGCCACCATGATGAGTCTAAGATAACAATGACCACTTATTGTGTTATCTTGGACAAATTACTAAAAATATCTGTCTCAGTTTCCTCTCTGTAAAACAGAAACAATAAAACAATACTAATGTCATATGATTGTTATATAGTTTAAATAGCACCAGCGACTACGAGCATCTTTTTTCTCCACTTGTTGGGTTTGCTCGTTCTTCTATTGGGTTTCCTGTCTTTTTCTTGTTGATTTGCAAGGTTGCACTTATGAATTTTTTTAGTTTAAGGTATTGATTCTCTCCTTCCAATCTATCTTTTTTTTTTATGATGCCCTTGATTGAGTAGGATTCTTTAATTTTGATAAGGTCAAATCCATTAATTGTGTCCCAAATGTAGAGAAAATTAAGACATGAAAAACACTGTTTATGCCCTAAACAACTTAAAATCCAGCTGGAGAATCAAGAACAACAACTGTGTGAACACTGTCACAGGTTTTGCTGCAATGGTACGCAACAGAACACCAAGTTGTAAGGCTTAATAACCAACTGTTAACCTTGAAAAAGTATCCAAATTTTCTGAAGTTCAGTTTCCTTATTTGGAAGATGGAAACAATAAAAAAATACCTCTCAGTTTGTTGTGATAAATAAATTAGACATGTCAAAGGGCATATGGTACCAACTACAATTCATTTGCAAAGTAGATCAATGAAATGCTAACAGCTAGGTATATGGAGGTCTACTACCCTCGATATTCCACATTTGAATTTCATAGCCCAGTGAAAGTCATTATCTCTGCTAATCATCAGATGCAGAAACTCAGTTTCAGAGAGCTTAAATAATTTGATGAAGGTCATACAGCTAGCTAAGTAAATGGTAGTGATAGAATTAAGAGCCAGATTTGTTTGACCTTAAACCTCGTGTGCTTTCTACTATGTCAAGTTATTGTCTAAAGAAACAAGTTATTGCTAGAGAAGCAATGAAACTTTGAGTACTGAAAAAAAAAAGACAGGCTTGAATAAACAAAAAGAGGAAGAGAAAAGATCATGCGGATTCTGAGGGGGTACTGTCCATGTGTAAGGGGGTGCAGTGCATCTGTATGGGGGTGCAGCGCATGTGTAAGGGATGAATGTGTGGTAAGCAGAAGAAAACCTGTGCATCACAGTTCACTTGAGTTCTGGCAGAGACTGGGAGCCCTGGCACAGAGCCGCTGGCAAGGGACAGCCATTCCCCCCTCTCTTATTGTCATATTAAGGAAGCAGGAGTGAGTTATCTGACTGCTGAGCTGGAAAGTATGTGTCACTCTGCCCCTCAAGTCCAGGGAGCATTTTGCCCTGGGAAGCATGTGTGTTCTGCTTTTCCAGAAACGGTAAAACTGCAACTTCACGCGGCAGATTTTCATTACAAGGGTTATTCTGCACCTCCAACCCTCTATCAGCCCTGGGGGATAGCTCCAGCTCCCCAATATTACACACAGGTCTTCCAACTCTTGCACGTGACAGTCAGGTACTAAGGGAGCCAGCCAGCGTGTTTTATTTAATTCTGCGGTGAAGTATAAGCAGATCCATTCATTGTCCGTGCCAATCCAAAGCCATGGCCGCCATTCCAGCTTTTACCAGGGACAAAGCTGACATTTTGCTCTCTAATAGTCTGGTTCTGGTGGCTAGTTTAATGGCTTGTGAACATGCATGGGAAATATGAGCGTTATTTGAAGCCCCTAAAACCACAACATTAGGCACTCAGCAAACCGTGGGAGTAGAGTGAACGTGAACAGGTCAGTGGACAACAAGAGAAGACTGGCTTGATCTGAGCATAGGGAGTACAGTAAGCAGCCAACGTAAAGTTAGATGGACAGGTGGTTCCAGCAATGAAAGACTTACAAGGAAGGCAGAGTTTGGATTTCATGTGGGAGAGAGTGCTGAAAGTTTCTGAGCCCAGAAGCATATGAGAAAGACAGTGTTTAAATCCTGTAGTTAGAAGGGATATCGGCAATGAGGTGCAGTGGAGACTAGAGAGCCTGGAGGTGGACGCCGACCAGAGGTGGTTTCCAGAATTCTCCAAGTGAGGACAGATGAAGGTCTAGCCTAGGGAAGTGGAAATGTGAATGACAATAGCAGATGTCAAAGTGAAAACTGCCAGGATACGGAAACAACCCAGGTCTGGGAAGCGGAAAGGCGTTTGCCGGCCATGCCTTATAAAGATGCCGAGGGGCAGGCCTGGGAGCTGGAGGGAAGTGGGGCTCAGCCTCGGGCATGTCCAATCTAAAATGCCAAGTGGGTTTTGTTTCTCAGCTTCTCAGCACCAGAGACACCAGAGGCAAGGTAGGAAAGGCCACAGTTAGAAGTTTGGAGAGTCGATACAAAGAGGCAGTGCACATTTGCAAGCCTCTGGGAAGAGGCTGGGGTCGATGGAAAAGAAAGCATGAACATGGAGGGTAGCTGAGGTGACAGGAATGGGAGCAGGGACACAGGTGACGGGTGGACGGAAGACAGGAGGGGGGCACAGCTCCTGGACTCGAGGAAAGGATGGACGGGATAAGGCTGCTAGCAAACGCTCCAGTCCGGGTATTTCCAGCAGAGCAGGGCTGCCGCCAACTCTCCCCCAGGAAATGCACGGTTGAACCCAAAGCAGCCTTCCGGGCCCCGCGCCCACTTCCTTGAGTCCTGCTACTGTGACCCCCGGACTGTGAGTGTCCCTGGGCATCCCCGGCTCTGTCAGCCCTGGGGGTCGGCTGGGGCTCCAGAGGCTGCAGGGCGCCTCTCCCTCCAGGCTCCTGCCCCACAGCGGACCGAGGTACCCCAGCAGCACCGCCCAAGCTGGGCACCGCCGCAGCCCGCCCGAGCTGCAGCAAGCGCGGCCCCTCCGGGGATGCGGCTTCGGCTCCCCCCGCCCCCCACGCACCCTCGGCTTTTGTTGCAGTGTCTCCCGGGGCACCCCATCTCTGCCTCAGCCTCCGCGTCCTGGGGGCCCGGCGCGGAGCGGAGTCCGGGCGGCGCCAGGACGCACCCGGGCTCCCAGGAGCCAGCGGGGAGAGGAGGGAGCGGAGTCGGCCGCCGCGGGGGCGCTGCTGCAGAAGGGGGAGGAGAACGGGGAGGAGCTGGGGGGCAGGCAGCCGGGGTAGGAGGGGTCTTGCGGGGCGGCGGGCGCAGGTCGGATTTCCTCCGAGAGTGGCGATCGGAGAAGCTCCCACAGAGCTTGCTGCAGCCGCCCCGCTCCGCGCCCTCTGGGAACCGGGACAGGACCGTGGTGAGCGCGCGGCGCGCGGCGGAGCAGGGCCGGGCCCCGCGGGGAAGCCGGGGGCGCTGGGCGGAGGGGGCGAGCCTGCGGGACCCCAGGAAGTTTCCGGGGTCGGCGCGGGGCCCGGTGCCTTCAGCGGCGCTCTTGTCTCTTCCGCAGATGTGGACACGCTGGCTCGCGCTCGCGGTGGTGGCGGCGGCCTGGGTCCGCGCGGAGGTAGGTAGGCAGCAGCCGACGGGGTCGGACCCCGGCCCGGGGCCCCGCGGTCTGCGCGCGGGCGGGCGGCGGTGCGTCCGGGGATGCGCTCGGCGGGGGGGGGGGGGGGGGGGACCGGGAGTCTCCGAACGCGGGGACGGCGGCGCTCGGAGCAGGACCGCCACTCACGAAACTTAAGCTTCAAAAATCAGGAAAAGAAGTTTGAGCAGTGAGCGGGAGCCCCTCCGCGGCTACCGCGGAGGGGGAGCGGGGCGGGGAGGGAGGACGCGCTGGGCCCTGCGGGACCGCGGCGGTGCCGGGGCGCAGCCGGGTTCAGAAAGGCGCCTGGAGAAGAAAGTCCTACGAGTTGGGACTTTTCCTTCCGAGTCGTTCTCCTCCAGGAGAAGAAAAAAAAAAAAAAATCCGACCCCCCACCCCCAGAATCCTAAGAGATTCTTCTTTTAGGGCGGAATAATTTTTTCTTTTATAAAGTAGGATTATAAATCCCTGATTTTTTCTTCCTTTGTAAAGAGCCTTCGGATTTTGAGTTATTGTCAGGACCATATAACGGCCTGCTAAATTCTCAAATGTTCTCTTAAACTAGCGTTTGCGCGAGTGTGAGCCATCCATTGCTCAGCCCTCAGAGGACTCGGCTTTTGGCAGTCATAGTACTTCAGCACTTTTTTGCTGATGTTTCTTTCTCAACTCGTGCCCTTCCTGAGACACTACAAACAACCAACAAATCCTTCGCTCACAAGCCCTTCCATTAACTCAAAGGTTTATGGACAGAAAATAAACAATTCTAAATTCCCTGGGCTCTAGTCTCTAGAAAAGTGAGGTCAGAAACCAAACATTTGGTAATTATGGCAGGAAATGTGGAAGGAATTAAAAAGCATGAGGGAGAAGAAATGGAATGTACATTACAAAAGAAATAGCTCCCTGGTGGGTGGTTATTCTCCCTCTTTGAAATTTTTTCTTCATGTTACAGTTTAGCCCCACCCCCGAGCACTGCCGCTTGACTGGGCCCAGAAAAATCATAAAAGCGTGCAAGGTCTTCACGATTTAAAAAAATACACATTATATTGAACTCATTTAATTCACCATTCCAGCATTGATTGAGCTGGAAACACAAGCTGTTTTTACAAGGAAATTTTTTAAAAGGTAGCTAATATTTATGGGGAATATACTTTCTGTTGTAATAACATACCTTTTTAATGACGAGGAAACTGAGTCATAGAGGTTACATAATTTATGCAGTGCTCTACTCCGAGGCGGTGGGGGTAGGGTTGTACCTGCTGTGTTCTTCTGGTGTAGCAGACACGGGGCTGCCTGCATAATTTCTTTTAAAGCTTCTCCAACCTTGTAAGGTCCATTTGGTTATCCTCATTACACAGAGGAAGAAACAAGTTTTGGGAAATGAGGTGACCTGCCCAAAGTCACACAGCTAGTTAAGTTCTGAAGAAGGATCTGAAGCCAGCTCCCTCCACTCCCTCCACCTTTGGAACTCATCTTGAATTTCAGATCAGCTTCTAATGCGTTGCTTTCTCTGGTTTGAATCTGAGGGAAGACTACCCTTCGCTGGTTGATTTAGTCCTGCCAAAAGGAACACCCTTGCTGTGGCCTTCAAAAGGCAGCTGCAGCCCTTTGGTGGACAGGGTGGATCCCTGGTTGGTTTTACAGCAGGTTTAGGACGGCCAGTGTGTGAAGTTGCCCGGGGAGGGGTGGGGAGACTGGGATGCTTATAGGATGTGTGAGGAGGTCCTGTGGCCCAACCTCCACGATCTATTCTGGGCTGCCTGTACTATGCTCCCTTCCCCCACGGCATGGCTGGGAAAAGCTCAGTTTTCATAGGAAGTTCCCCCAACAGCAATTTCCTGCTCTAGGTGGAAGAGCAGAGTATACTCTCACAGAATTCCCAGGCAAAATCTGTGGAGAAAAGGGTAGAATCAAGAAGGGCTGAGATATGAAAATTGAGAGAGTTGGTGCACAAAGGAGGCTGTGAACTCAGGTTATGGGAGGGATGAGGAGTAGGTATGATGTAGAATTGTCTCTTAGCCAATCGTGTCTCTTGGTGTCTGGCCTTAGTAACATTCAGCAGATTTTAAATCTATGTTTTAATAATACATCTTTAATTATCAGTATAAAGGTAAATTAATACCAGCAATTTGGGTATTATTTTAAGCATTTAATCGTGCAATTAATGGTGTTTGCAGTACAAACTTTTTTCTTTATCTATAAAACGTTATAACAAAGCTAAATAATATTTACATTCCACTTTGGTAAACTTTAGGATTCAAATTGTTTAATATTGTTGAACTTTTTAAAAATGAAGTTTAGAAAATAAACTCAGTTTTCTGGGTGCTTTTTGTTTGAATACAAGTACGAGTACTGAATTCAGCATATTTTTAAAATGTGATTACCTCACAAATCACGTCCTATTTGTGAAACTAATTGTTTGGAATAGTAGAGTTCTAGAATCAGAGGTGTCCCAAGGTTGGGAAAAGGTGGTGGTCATTATGAATGCCAATCTATAAATCCTGTTTGGTTAGATTCAAGAATCCAGTAACAAGTCTCATTAAGAAAAGTGTTATATTTTGAATGTTTTCCATGGTCTTTACTTACTTTGGCACCTCCAGATTGCTTTTTTGATTGCTTCCTCTTTCTTGTGTTTTCTTTGTCATTCTCTATCAAAAGAATTTAAGTGTATGACCCATGAACTAAAGAGGGGGGTGGGGGAGAATGCTGGAGGGAGGGGAGTCAGGGGGAGTGTGATAAAGGGGAGAAAAGAATGGCACAACTTTAATAGCATAATCAACAAAATATACTTTTTAAGAAATGTATTCCTTCAGGCGGCCTCCATCCACATTCTGCCCCACTCACCGGAGCCAGCACTCATACACTTTTCAGAGTCTGCGTGAAAGGGGTGTTGGCCTTGTGGCACGTCTCTCACTGAGCATGTATTAGCAACTGGTACGGGTGAAGAATGGGGGTGGCAGTAGCCTAGGGGGCGTCAGAGCTTCAACCAGCAACCTCACAGCTTCTCCTTTTCTAGATTCTGTTGGGAGGGGGCTTTGTAGGCCTGCTCCTCTCTCTCACACTCATGCCCCTCCCAGTGAGAATTACTGCAGTGGGCTGAGAGGTTGGGAAAGGCTCAGAACGGGCACCAGTGCATGTGCCCTTGAGTCTCCAGTAGGTGCATCCTAGTCCACTCCAGCATGGCAGGCTGGAGAGGACCCTGTGGCCCAACCGCCGGCTTTTGAAAGACAGCAGTGGTGTGTGCCTGTGCACTCTTCCCTTGGTGGTTGTCCCTGCTGGCACTCTGATTCCCCGCATTCCAGCTCTATAAATTCCTCGTAAGTCACCTAAGCACTGGGGACTGATTCACAAATCAGAACACTCATTTCAGACAAGATCGGGCGCGTTCAGGGTGGTATGGCTGTAGTAGAACACTCATTTCAATAAGGGAATGCTTGACCTGTGAACTGTGAGCACATCACTTAAGATAATAATAACAAGAGTAATAACAGTTACACAGACAAATAAGATTATTAAGGCATTGTCCCTGAGAAGCCAGATTTCTTAACCTCATTTATGCCTTGTTATCAACATACAGTTAATCAACCATGAGGAGTTTTATTGGCTGACGTGGGATCTTTTCCATATTCTTTAGCATTATTCCAATGGTGGATTCAGGCAGGCCTAGAGTCTGACCCACATCCTCTGACTTGTTGGAGCTGCAGCAAAACCAGGGCTTTAATATCCATCTTATACATTAACCACTAAAATAATCTCTTCATTTATCCTTGGCAAATAAACTACTTGCTGTAATTTTAAAGACCATTGTTGGAACTGGGATGTTAAAACATAGCAAAGACTCTGCTGAATAACCAAAACAGACGGACAAGCACCCTGCAAATGGAGGCCCCAGCTGTTGAAAATGTCTTTAGAAGGGAGATATGTTACAGTCCCCATAGAAGTCTCTGGATTGGGTGACAGAAAGCAGGAGGCAGTTCCAAGGCTTAGAGCATTTAGTTGGGGAGGAGCTGTGAGGTGAAGATCGGGAGGCATGGGCTATGGTGGATGTAATGTCTCGAAGAAGAAAATAAAGTCAGTGAGGCAGAAAGCCGTGTGTTTCCAGAAGAATAGGGAAGGTAAAGGATGAGCTGTAAATACTGGGGTCACCCGTGGAGAAGTGGAAATGTCACCATGGCTTTTTCCTACTCGTTAAATAACTGGACACCTGGACATACAATTTCTAGCAGCCACAATTAGTGTTAGCTCAATGACACCAGATATTACAGGGTTGAAGAAATACCTAGGTAGGTTCATTTTGTAAGCCAGGTGATTAATGTCCTGCAGGTCAGATGCATACTTTTCTCTAAGAAATGCTGTCTTCTGACACCTGTGACTTTGACGCAGGGTCCTTTCTCCAGGGGTGAGTCCTTACAGCAGGGCCTTCCCTCCACAGTGCCCATCAGTCAGTATTCCCTCTGCAGGCTTGAGCGCACCCTGCACACACACGGGGCAGGGTCATGGGTGAAGTGTGAGGACTGGTCTCTCAGGTTGCTTATGTCCTAGTGGTGGGCCAGCTGCTTGCAGCTGGCAGCTACAATGTATATTATTATAACTAGGTAGTGAACACGTATCTTAGCAATTATTATTATTATTATTGCTTTTTTTACATTAACATAAGGCCTCTCTGGATTTTTACAGTTTCTACATTAGTGCAGTACACAGATTACTAATGTATAGCTTAATGAACTTTTATATATGGATGCACCCCTGTGGCCACCACCCAACCAAGACTGAGGGAACGAGAAAGGAGGCTAAGAACTCAGGGTATGTGGAAATTGTTACAGTGAAAAAAGTGAGGAGTAGATATGATTACAGTTATATTTCATCACTCAAGGATCTTTATAGTTTAATTAGTCCAGTTTCTTTAGGCCTGGCCCTAGTAACATTTGTTTAACTTGTTTTAACAATTATAAACCTTTAATAATTAATGAAAAATAAATTAACCC